CCATGGAACAGAACAGGAATAGAACAGTTTAACTGGAATAGAGACATCCCTATTGATAACACAGTCCACATTTACTAATGGCAGAATGGCAATATGATAGCGAGAATTATCTTTACAGTTTATGGTATGATGATGAATTTTATATGCTCAACGCATGATATGCTTTATTTTGTGAATAATTGATGATAAGCTAAATTTTGGAAGAAAATGCGCAGATTTTCGAACAGTTCGACGATTGTTACGAACTTGAAAACCGTTGATCAATGGAGCTAATTTGTGATCACCTTTATTTGGGATCTGAGTCGAATTTTGTAGCGATTCGATGATTGTTGAGTGGAATTATTTGCTGATCAATTTGTTTAGTAGCTATTGCTCTTAAAGATTCGCGACAATTTCCTCTTTCATATCATTCCAATACTTTGGTCACACTCTTTCTCTTTAGAACGTCACATTGAATGGTGACTGAGTTAAAAAATAATTCAGCGGAGTGAATTTACTTTGGTCCGAATCCGATTCAATTTCAACTGAAATTCATGATGCCAGATATCATCGTTTCAATTTTTTGGTCGCAAATATCATTAATCTTCAGTCATATCCCAACTGTTATGAACAAAGGGAGAGAGAGGAGATACTAATAAGATCTTTCCATCGATACCGCATGAAGTTTATATGTTTCCTCTGCGAAGTAAACAAATTTCTTTATAATTAGTTTCATGTTCACACAAATAATGAATTCATCTCTGTAAATGTGAACAAATCTCGACTAAAAGCTGTGACGATGATGAGAAATGATTTAACTCTCCTCAAAACCAACAAATTTTGATTTGTTCACATTTGATGAATGCAGTGAGACAAACATTTGATGAATGCAGTGAGACAAATGACATAATCATTGAGGGCACTATTCTTTATTCGTTACAGATTCATTCAATAGAATCACGCGAATTCACTGACGAGATGAGTTTGCTTGTACAGTTGTTGTTGCGATTGAATGACCACCTCGAAATAGGCGTCTGATGACGGCAATTGTTTTGCTTCTGATCGACCTGCAATGACTTTCCATTCCTGCTGCTTACACCTCAAGTCATGCAGTTCGTCCAAACATTTCGGCATCTCGCATGATGGATTTAGGAGGGATGGTCGTACAAAACGTCAAAGACAGCAGCTCATCATCTCAAATAATACTTGCACGACAGCGTTCCGTTTTGCTACAGTTCGCTACAAAAAACTGAATGTTCATAGAAACTTGGTGTTCAAAGTAAAAGTAAACATTCAGTGGTCAACGCAAGCGTACTCGTTGAAAATGAGATATATTATTGGATTACTAGACATTGCGAGAATCCATATAAGCGATGACAAATAATTGGCAGCAATGGATTTTCGGAAGAAAATGTCACATATGCACCAAAACACCACATTGGTAGCAGCTGTACCGGATGTAACAATTGCCTGCAAATGCTCTCAATAGATTCTAAAAGGTATAACAGGAAATGACATTCTGTAAATAATTCGTTGAGATCGTGTGTTCAATCCTGAAATGATTTCATTATTCTTGACCGGCCTCTCTGGCACTGATTGACTGCAGAATACTATAAATACTATAATGCTCTAAAGTCACTCGTTTCTGCCATAGTAACCGATTGTTGGTATTAGAGTTTACATACCGTGTTTCAGCTCAGATCAAAATTCTGCTAACAAATAGGAATAGCTTTTTCAACGTTACGCTGATTAGTGATATTAAATTATTCACTGCTCCCATCTCACATGGTTCAACAGCCCCAAATGCGAATATTTCAGACGCAGAAACTGCCGAGCGTTTACAAATTTTGTTTATGTGAACGTGAGTGCAATATCAATATCTCGTTGCCACACCGATCGTAATAAAAGATCAAAAAGCACCTGCAGGAAGATTGCCAGATCTCGTTTTCGTTCCCAGTGGAACTGAAAAAGCACTAAGAATTATCACACGTAGTTGTAGAAAATGAGCAAAGATTAGACTTATCTCATGAGAATTATCTCACGATAGTGAGCAAAACATCACGTTATCCGTTAACGTAAACTAAAATTGTCGGTTACTTCCACAGATTTACCCAGAAACATTGCGGTTTCAGGCGTCATTCTCTAAGGATTTGCGTACAGTCTACAATAGAATGACAGCTTTCGATGAACACGATTGCTTGCGTTCCGGATAATCCAGCGACTTACATGGTTGTTTCCTGATGAAGCTGTGCTGTGTTGGTGAGAATGCTGCCAGAGAAACCATAAAATAGTGAGATATGCAGCGAATGTGACGATCGTTGCGGTAATGCTCACGGAGGAAATAAAACGACTGGAACGAATTTTACGTTAATTTATTTCATTTTGTGATTTTAGAAACTAATTCGTTTTTACGAAGCCGTTGGCTCGAATGTCAAGCCGATATTTGAGAAGCTTTTGTATGAGGTGTAGTCAATATTAGAGGATAGCAAGTGAATAGCAGAAAGGAGCAGAAACACTGGCGATTTTATTCCATCAATTTGAACCCCACCACAGTTGCATGAAAATTTTNTTTTCAAAAACTAACCTAGCAAAAGTCAAGTATGGTTCATTTCCGGTGTAAAGCCATCCGAATCGCTTAGGAACATAAACAACAGTGAGTATAGGTGTCATATAGATGATGAAGTAGACGATGGTGATTAGCCACAATACGATGAAGATTATCTGAAAATCACGGAATCGTTCACAACAAAACTCTTGGATGATCCTTAACTGGAAAAACAAAACATTCAATTTATGTGCTTCGAGGGATATCACTCAAGCGTAATGATATTATACGGGACAATCGTGATGAATCGAATACGCAAAGAGAATAGGGTGAATAGCGGAAGGCGATTGCCTTGGAAAAGTTATGTTGCCTTCAGTTTTTATCAAGCGATATTAGTTCCTTTCGCCAAGTGGACAATTTAAACTTTATATAAATCTGCATTCACGATTTGAACCATAGCAAGCGTCCTCTACCGTGCTTCATGAACAAACATAGGAATTGATTAAGCAGTGATACGAAAAATATTACGTTCAAGCCCATTCCCTCAAAGAACAGTTCAGCCTTTCTGCCGATGACAATGACTGCAAATCGATTAATCGCCAGCACTGTCATCAAATTGATTGAAGTCATCCACGCTGCGTTTAGCATTGAACCATTTATCTAAAAATTTGGCTCATTACTCAGTAATTCTCAGCCAATAAATCCGTCCGTGCAGTCTTTAAAGATCATACTCCTGTTCCGACAAAAATGCCCAACAATACGTTTGCAAAACGTTTTGTGACTGATTCTGCGTTCAAAAGTTTATGAGGTTGTTACGTACGATATCCTTTCCAAATGGCACGCACTTGAGCATGGTATTATTAACGGAATGACGGAAAGACTCAATTAATAGATGATTATTCGAACTTATGAATTGTTCAATGAAAAGATTTTACTGTACCTTGTTCAGAAGGGGATTTATTGAAGTAGCTCCAATAAAATATGTTAGCCAACATGGTGTGAAGCACAACATTTGAATGATATCAGCCACGCCTAAGTTAAACATTATTTTGTAGGAACCACCGCCTTTCCGTCGTTCCCGAAATAAAACCTGTAATCATCTACAGTACTTTGTGAGTGTCTGATTTTTTGATCAGTGATTTTTTGATCAAGTATTGTTTGAGATCATATTTTTGGACGTTCCGTCATACGCTATCCCAGAGGCTTCAGTTTCAGTTTGGATAAGCTCTCGACATGATTCGAACAGAGAGTTGTAATAACTCACGATAAGAACAACGATATACAGAACACTTGGAGAAATAACCGCCAAAAAGTTGACCATTGCAAAGCACCATATCACTGCGTTGTTCATTATCACTTAACCAAGTTCTAAACACAATTTTGTGACGCACGAAACTTGTACTCGGATGAAGAATTGTGTCGCGTCTTGAAAGCATTCACAACTCTGCTTTCGGACACATCGTTCACTCGCATCCATCTAACCGGCATCGAGCAACTATATTTTCTTCCATATTTGAAAGCAAAAGAAGCGAAAAGTGGAAAAAGTAAGATCATAAGAGAGTAACTGAAAGATAGTTGAGCAATCACTTTCGTGATGCCTTACATAAAATTATTTCCACTTTATGCGATTTGGTAGTCAGCTGTTCATTCCACTATTGGATTTGCTCCTCATGAATGGTCGGTGTTCAGATTCAAATCTGAATTCATTAATTTAGAGATAATCGAGCTCCCGAAAGGATAGGACGCTTGGAAAGGTCAACGTTAGATGCTCTGCACAAGTGGATTTCATGGAGCTTAATGAACGAGAGAGCATTCAAAGAACGAACTCATCACCATGGCAATCAAACTTAATGGGTGTGACAAAACTATTTGACATACGGCTGTACTAAGTGACCTTTACAGTAAGTATTCGATGAGATTGAAAACAACTCATCGTGAATGAACCCTTTCAAAATGTCGAACAAAATCATCTGAAATGGAGCAGTGAAAACGTTTTCATCAAAATATCACTGTATCATCTGCTATTGCCAACCAACACGAATCAGCGTCAACTTCGTGGCGGAAAACAGCAAATCATTTCATGATTGATCCTGAATCATGGAAGTGTGCATGACAAATGCTAAACACCTTTAACAAATTTTCTAATCAGATCATAAGGAAGTACTACGACGGACGAGCGATATGTTCAGGGAAACTAATAAGCGCAGCATTAACATTCTTTGAACATTTATCACGAGTGGAGTAGCATTAACAGCAAGCTGAAACAATGCTCAATTGAATAATATTTAGGGCGTGTGCAACAACTGTGAGAAAACGAACAATTTTAGATTGAATTCAAGCAATATCGTAGCCACGTTACGACACCTGTGAGAAGTACATGTGAAAATATGACCGTCCGAATGTAACAATTCCTGGGAACTTTCTTCCTTTATAAGGCGTATGGTGGTAGATATGGATGTCCTGAATAGGTAGATAATAGGTGGATCAAATAGTATGTGAAAACCCAAAACTACATGTGAAAAATCCTTATCGTGCTCTGTGATTGAATAGAAAACAACAGTTGCTTGTAACCGTTAAACAATAAGCTCAGCTCAACAAAAAGCTTTAAAGGACTAAATTAGCTTATTTAGAAACAGTGGTTTTAATAGAGAAGATAAAAATTTCCGGGTGACAATGGCTTCGGAGGTTGGCAAATCATTTCCGACGAATTTCTGAAGGACTGTAACGTAATTGTCCATCAATTTTTTGGATATTCCTTGCTTAAGCATCGTTTTTTT